TCTTTGAGTGTTCTTTTCTTTATTCTAGAATTGTGCAAACATCTTACCTTGTGAGGTTTTCTTATAAGTTTGCAAATTTGTAATCTTCTCTTTGAGAAAAGAGTGTTCTCAAGAGTTGGGGTATACTCTTGAGGGAATTGTAAGGTTATCTCTTTGGCCTCAAAAGAAAGAACAAATTAGTGAATTTGTTGGAAAATCCTTAGTGTGGATAGCTAAGGTAGTGGACGTAGACTTTGTTTGAGAAAGTCGAACCACTGTAAATTGCTGTGCAATTACTTTCAATTTTCTGCAAAAGCTTCCACAAAATTTTTATTGCCAATTCACCCCCCTCTTGGCCAATTTCGGCATTCGATTAACTCAACAGTATGATTATATAGATATCGAGAACGAACAAGTTCCAGAATGATTATCAAGTTAAGATTCGATCGAAAGAGAGGAAAGCATAAAAGTGGATTGAAACTTAGTGAGGCCAAGGTGAGTGCATATGCATTAGTATATGATGTGTGTGGAAAAGACTCGCGATGAGTCTACTTCCAATATTTGATTACATGATTTTATGAATGTTAATAAGGGTGATATGATTATTATTTATGCCTGAATATAGTCATATGTGTTATATGTGATTTCATATGCAACGGGTATAGGTAATGGTATGATGATAAGGTATCAATTATATTAATTAGATTTAAGTGAATAAATGAAAAGTGAGATAAACTAAGTAGGGTTGCCCTAAATGATAACATAAGATATTAAGTGAATGAACATAGATGATATATACGATGAAAGAAGATTAAGATATGAATCATATGATATGAGTTATATAGAAAATATATGTGAGACCATGCAAAGTGATATGGGCCATGTGAAGTATGAATATGAAATCATATGAGAATTTACATGAACTACGTGAAAAGAAACTATGTGACTACATGTATATATGAAAGAAGCTATGAACTTATATGACATGTGATATGAGAGTGTATATGTGGAATGATATAAGTGAAAATGCCCATGATATATTATACAAGAGCGATAGGTATAGTTGGCATGCCAAGAGTCGAGGGTTTACCTATGTTTTACGGAATATATGGACAGAATTACCTATGTCTTTCGAGACATATGGAAACTATACCTATGCTCTAAGGAACATATGGACAGTTTACTTAGGTTCTTCGGGACCTATGGACAGTTGCCGAGGTTCTTTATGACCTCTGGATAGGTCTTTCGGGACAAATTTCATATCCCCTAGTGGGACCCCATACGAGCTGTGGTGACAGCATAGTGCACAACCTCAATAGACTCACATATCTACAGTTCTCACATATGTACATGGGCTAACAAAGAGATAACAATAAATATATATATATATATTACATGTAAAGTATATGCTTTTGTAATATGAATTGCATTATATGATTATATGATGATGTGTGTATTGTTTGGTTAAATGAATCATATGTGGCTTAAAAGAATAGACATACGAGCATATGATTATAAGACATAAATGATAAGAATATGGATAGTGGAATAAGGTTAGTAACGGAAATAGTGTGAGATATGTATATGTGTATATTACATTGTATGTAATGTTAAAATGTTTTGGTATGATATCATGAGATGATGTGCTCCTGCATGTTTAAATAATTAGAGTTCTTTTATAAATGTAATATCTCACTAAGTCATAGACTTAGCGTGTGATTGTTTCACACGTAGGTTACAGAAGTGAGAAGAGTAAAGAGCAATGTGGAGCAAGACAGGCCAGTTCTCCTTATCGAAGGTTAGATCAGAAGAAAGATGAATAATATGTATTTTAATATATAAAGTTTTAGTTGGCATGCATTCAATAATATATTGTATAAGCTCTGAATAGTGTTGTAAACATTTTGAATAAGTTATATGTTATAAAAATTTTAAATTACTCACTATTTTATACAAGTAAATGTTTTGAAAAGTCAATGTGACACATCGGACTCGGATCCGGGTTGAGGGTGTTACATATACTTAATCAAAAATTTGAGGCAAACATAAATCATAATTTACCAATGCAAATTATGTAAACAATGAATCTAGTGACATAAAAATTACTCGTGGGCTAAATTTTTAATTCGATTAGATTCATATTATGATATAATTAATTTATATCCCTTTGATAAAATTATTAAACCCACTTTCATAATTCCTGTGGATAACTATGCAAGGCATTTAATAATTTTACTTTAGTAAATTATGTAATAGGATTTAATATCTAAGTTTTATGTATGTGATTTTTAACTTTAGTAATTTTATTTAACTAAAGATGTTGTGGCTAGTCTTTAACTAAATAAAATTATGTAAATCACTTAGCCAAATATTAACCCTAAACTTTATTTAAAAATGTTGCTAATTCATCATGCAATATCTTATTTTTATAGTCTTAATGAGATCATTACCATAATAAATAATTTTATTTAATCAAAGTTGTTGTGACTAATTCTCTAATTAAATAAAATTATTTAGATATCTAGACATTTAATATAAGGTTTTATTGCTAAATACTTTAAGCAATAATACTTAAGTTTCATGCAATTAAAATGTATGTTATTAACAACCATATAATTTTCATACATTTAATTATAATTTAGGCACATAAAATTAATACAATTTTTCTAAAAAATTATATAATTATTATAAACATAATTAATTTTAGAAATATCTTCTTAATAAAATCCAACGATTTTAGTAACTAAGTTTGCAACACAATTTTTCTCCAATTTTAAAAATCATGGCATCAAAATTCGAGAAATATGTAAACTTTCAAAAATCAGACAAGACAGAGATTTGACCATGCTCAGATACCAAATGTAAGACATGTTTTCATACATGTTAGACATGCTTTCATCTACATTGAGCATAAACGCAACGGAAAAGAGATCGTTATAAATATCTCCAGCCATTGCCTACATCGTATGTCGAAATCCGAGAATTGAATGCACCACCGTCAATTACGTCAGACCACCGTGAACCGCCAAGAACCACCATCGAACACTTCGAACGTGGCTACACAAACTAGACCCAACAAGGATCTTCTAAGCACTCAAAACCTCACTAGATAGTATACTGATTTCCAACTCTCTAAATGTGAAAAATGCTTTGAATGAATTGATGCTTAGGGACCTTGTGCTAATGGGTATTTATAGTTTGGTTTTGCCATCAAAAATCATTAAAAAAGCTGCCCATTATTTAAAGTAACTTCCCACACGTCCATGCACATCTCCTAAATGGAGAGTGGAATTGCACGGTTACTTGAGGTGTGGTGATATGAACCACAAAAGATGGGCAGTTAATTGAACTGCTTACAGCTTGCTTTCATTAGACGAGACCTTGACCCTGTCTGAGATAGGCTGCCTTGTTTTGCTGTCTAGAGAAATAATTTGAGAGCCCCGAATGCGATTAACTTTATTGAATTTCCCCCCTCTGATCTTTAGGGTTATGTTTCTTCAATGAACCTTGAATGAAATTTTCTCCCTCACCCTCGTTATATGATTCAAATGTTTATTTTGGATAGCTCAAGAATCTGTTTAATGTTTAAACTTAAGAATATCCATTATTTTAACGATATCTAATTCAAACCAGTTCGTAACACACACGCACAAAAAAAAGATCTTGTAGGATCGTACGTAGTGAAGCTCACATGTGCATTTCTTTTTAGGCTAAAGTATACAAATGGTCCCTCAAATATAAGGTATTGTTTTGTTGAGTTCCTCGAATATCAGAAATTGCAAAATGATCCCTTAACTGGTTATTTTGTTGAGTCCGATAACTAATAAAAATTACAAAATGATAATTCAACTATTCATATATTTTAAATTCATCATTTTTCGTTAAAAAGTTGACGACTCTCAGTATTGAACGTTAACTTACCGACTAAGATATGATAAAATCTTATCCTAAAATCTAAAATGGCTATAATACAACTCAAACGATTCTATGATCAAATTTTATCATATCTCAATTAACATGTTAATATTTAATTTAGACAACCATTAAATTTTTAACTGAAAATGACGAGTTTAAAATATATGAATAACTAGTTGATTGTTTTGTAACTTTTCCTCAAGTACTTTACCCTTCTTTTTATTTTCTTCTTGTCTTTTGATCTTGCCGACAACAACTTTGTTCTTTGTTTCATATTTGTGTATTTATCAAATACCTTGGGCATGGCCCAGGGTGTCCGGTGCGTCTGGCTTAGGCCGGGTGGGTATATATTTATTTTGGAAATCGATTTTTTATATTAACTATTTATTTTATTATTAATGTTTGTCTTAAAATTTTATTTAAGTTAAATTTATTAAAAATATATATATTATTAATATATATTTATCTTAAAAAATATTTCTAGTCACTTACCTTGTCCAGGATGGAAACGATATTTAGATTTCTGGTTTAATGATGACTCTAAGCTGTCATTGAAACACGTGTTATTAACTTAAACCTGCTGTAATTTTTTTTTACTGATGCTAGCTGCCAACCCATTTTCCCCCCTTTTTATGGTTACATACATGCACATGGGCGAACTTTCCGACTAAAAGCATGTAAAATTGTCAAATCTCAAAAGTAATGTGTCTGGTATCCCTGATTCATTGACTAATCAATGTTCTTTGAAATTTCCATTTTGCTTCACGTCTTTCCCAAGTCGCAGCAGTTCTTAACAAGAAAAATTGCCTAATTATGGCCTAATCAAACTTCCTTTAAAAATTAATCACGTTGATATTTATATAATTGTAGTGTAGAAACATGCGTTACTTCTGTGTATAATTGTAGAAACATGCGGTACTTTCTGTGTATAATTGTAGAAGCATATGTGCTTTCGGACTCATCTTCAAACGAGCGTGTTGAAAATTTGCAAGGGACAAAAACGGAATTTAACAAAATTCAAAAGCATGCTAATTGCGACACGTCCTCCCAAAAAAATCCCGTTATCATATGGTAACTCTACACAGAAACGTCGTGATTTCAACCTGGAGCGTTGGTGGTTTTCGCCTTCTAGCTTTCAAAGTATTTGACTACTTCCTTCCCCAATTCCTACTTGTTCCATTAGTCCTAAAACAAGTTTCTTGTTCTGTTTGTGCTTTCGTATGAACACTGAACAAGTCAAGAGATAAGAAAGAGACAGGATTGGTTGCTGAGAAGATTGGATGTTTTTCCTTTGTTTCAAACATGTTTTACCCTAAGCCCATCGCATTTCTGCTATCAGCTCTCCTTTCTTCCGTTTGGTTAAGCACACACGGGCTTGATGCCGCTACGTTACCCCAAGATGAGGGTAACTTTATTTACCTTCTTTTTTGTAATACGGGATTATCTGACGAATCAGGGATTAAGTTATTTTTTGATTGCTCTGTTATTGGATTTCATGTGGTAATACAAATGTTCTTGTTGTTTGATTTGTGATTTTACCAGTGAATGCTCTGAATCAAGTCACCAAAACAATGGGAAGTAACGGCTGGAGTTTCGATGCCGGCAGTTGCAATATCTCCGAGCAAGTGAACATGGTGGACATGCGTGCCGAGAAAAGCATTACCTGCACTTGCCAAAACGGAACCTGTCACGTCACTCACATGTAAGTTTCCCAGAAAAATAAAAAGAACCACGATAAAGAAGTACTTAAAATGGCTTGATATTTGGGGTTTGTTTTGGACTTTTAGAGTATTCAAGCTTCAGAGTTTACCTGGACTACTTCCATCTGAAATTGTAAATCTTCCATATCTCAAAACGGTGTAAGTATCTCCGGCTCTCTTTCTCAGGTCTCTCCTTATCTTGTTTATTAAATGCGTTTAAGCTTAAGCCTATTGGGTATGCAGTGATTTTGCATATAACTATCTCAGTGGGACAATCCCTCCTGAATGGGCTTCAATGCAATTTGAATTCATGTAAGTTGTCGTCTCCTTTGTATATGATCAATCTTTGTGTGAAGAGAAAAATGAGTTATTCTCTTTTGGGGCTGATCAAGAGATCTTATTCCAGTTCCTTATTTGGAAATCGACTATCTGGGAGTATTCCAACTTATTTGGGGAACATTACCAGTCTTAGATACTTGTAAGTTTTGAAGCACTTTAATTTACTGGACATGGACGTCTAAATGTCGATGTTCTTTTTAAGGCAATCTTAGTTTTGTGCCAAGCTAGTGACATTATATGCTTTTCACTCTCCCGAGGACAATAATTATCCAGGTTTCCTGGTCAATGAAGAATGCAAATGTTTTAAATTGGTAAGAGAAGTTGCACTTATTTCATGTAATTTCAATGCATGTACATAACAGAGACCTCGAAGCGAATCAATTTTCAGGACAAGTCCCTCCAGAGATCGGAAAGTTAGTTAACCTGGGAACTTTGTAAGGAATTTCATTTCTATAAATTTCTAATTTTCCTGAACTATACATTTGAAAACGGGGAAAAAGTAGAGTAGTTTTGAGTGACGAAAGTTTATATTTTTCATTGCAGAAGATTGTCTTCGAACAAACTAGCCGGAAATTTGCCAGTTCAACTTGCGGAACTGGAAAACTTAACAGACTTGTAACGTTTTCTTGTTAACTAGTAGGATGTCAGAAAAAGCTTGTTAGAAACTTAAGTTGTAAAAGTTCTTATTTATAAAATGCAGTCGGATAAATGACAACAACTTTAATGGGAGCATACCGGTTTTCATTCAGAACTGGAAGAAACTCACAAGACTGTAAGATCTTCAACTTTGGAAATGGTTTTTGAGAGTCTTTAAAGTTTCTGAGATTTGAGAACTTTTTTCTATGGAACTGATTATTTTTGCTTTAATTAAATCAAAGCAGAGAAATGCAGGCGACTGGACTTGCAGGTCCCATTCCTTCATCCATCTCAGCTCTGGAAAACTTAAGAACACTGTAAGTACTGAAAGGTTCTAAGAAGAAGATTGTGGACAAGAACTTGTTAATAAATTAATTGTTTCCGAACTTTTTGTTTGTAATGGTGTTGCTTGCTTGCAGGATAATCAGTGATATAAACGGAACAACTCAGCGTTTTCCCGATCTTTGGAACATGACATCAATCAATCGGATGTACGTTTGCTGCCTATCTTATATTTATGAAACATATGGTATTAGTTTTCTTTATCATTTTATCTGATATGGCTGATCTTGGAAATTGTAGAGTATTGAAGAATTGCAACATTGTTGGGCAAATTCCACAACAAATCTGGCAAATGAGTCAATTACGTATTTTGTAAGTGTAAAACATGATTCTTCAGTTAAAGAAAACAGTAAACTGCTTTATTTTTATTTATTTTTTATTTTTCAAACATTTTGATTTTCAGAAGTTTTATGATTTTTTATGGAGGAGAAAAATAAGAAGACTGTAAATGGTAGATCTCTATGCTGCTATTACATACATGTTCATGGCCCAAATTACCATATTCTCATTTATGTTTTAACTTTAATCTTACAGAATTCTTAATCATTTAGATTAAATTTTTGTTCCTTTGTATAAGTTCTTGTTGTTTTATTGAATGATTGCTATCAGCTGATCTTTTAGCACCATAAAAAAAACCTAAGACATTATTTGTAAATTTGGACAGAGACCTCAGTTTTAACTGGTTGAATGGGGAAGTTGTTAGAGCCTTTCTCCCTAAAGATTTAAGATTCCTGTAAGTTCTTTTTTATTTGTTCTATAGAAATCATGCAAGCATTGTAGCAACATTCTATATCTAACCGCAATAGGCCTATAAAACTGATTGATATGATTGATATCAGCTATCTTACGGGCAACAATCTCAGTGGAAATATACCAGACTCGATCTTGCAGACAGGAGTCGCCTTGTATGTGTATTCTGTTTGGACTATCTGATTCTTATATTTAACTAGGAATATCTGTGTGCGTGCACTCATGTGAATTCTTAGCATGCAGAGATTTCTGAGAAAACAGTTCTATTTCTATCTTGTGTTCAGGGATCTTTCCTACAATAACTTCACATGGCCAAGCCCTAATCAACCTGCTTGTTTACGAAGATTGTCAGTTCTTTCTTTTCTTTGAGTTCAGTAGAAGCTTATTCTTCATGTGTGCTTCCTTGAGATGTAGGGTTACTCACTTCTACAGCATTTTGCTTTTTAAATAGGGACAACGTGAATTTGTTCCGCAGTTCTTCAACAGAGTACGGGTAAGTTCTTGATTTAATTATCTTAGGTTATCAAAAGCCACAAAAATTGACTGTCAATACACATTGAGAACGGAGAAGATCAGTTTAGCATGATCTCCATCTATTTTCTTGGGCACCATCTGGGTTGGGGTAGATGGATGTGAGCTTTAAAATTTCATTTCCATGTTTTCTATATGAAAATAATATTTGTAGAATAATGATACTACATAACATTCATTTGATTGCTAATTTGTCCTTTATTTTTGTTGTTTTCCTTTTTTCACGACTCATCAGTGAAAGGGGAGTTATTCCATGCAGGAGTGATTTCAAATGTCAGAAATGTAAGTACATTATTACATTTGCTTTCAGTCTAATTACAATACGTACCTTGAAGTCCACGCATCCAGAGTTGTTGCTTTTTTTTTTCTTTTTCTTTTTTGTAAATGTTCTTTCAAGCATCAAAGATTTACATTAATATACTAACTTGTAAATGGTTAGCATAAAGTTTATATGTATATTATAGTTTGCAAGCTGCTAAACGAAAAAGGTACTTTACCGGTTAGCTTCTTGACTTTTGCTTTTGTCTTGATAGAATATTTTCTGCTTCTTTCTTTGAAGCTAAAATAGTTGTCTTGTCTCTGGCAGACTGGCATTCTATGTATATCAATTGCGGTGGAAATATTGATGTTAGAGTGAATGGGACAATGTATGTGGGAGATGCGAAATCTGGTTTAGGTGGTGCCTCAACATTATATGAGAGTGGCGATAACTGGGGTTTTAGTAGCACTGGAGACTTCAGGGATGACAATGATGAACTTAATGCTGCGTCGCGTTATGTTAAGCAGACAGCAAACATGTCTAACCAGTTGTTTGCTACAGCACGACTATCTCCACTTTCAGTTACTTATTATCGATATTGTTTAGAGAATGGGAGCTATTCAGTGAAATTACACTTTGCAGAGATCGAAATCACCAATAACACGAGATATGGAACACTTGGGAGGCGGATTTTCAACATTTATATTCAGGTAATTAATCATGATTGTGAAACTAACTCCTTCCGCAGTGGTGTTTGTCCAGTGAATTGCTTGGCTGGCATATAAGTTACCGACACACCATTCTGTCTCCATTGGCTGCTAGGTAAATAAGAGTGACCGAATTTTCATGTTGCAGGATCAGCTGGTGGAAGAAAACTTCAATATAGAAGCAGAAGCTGGTGGGATTCTTACTCCGGTAACGAAACACTATAATGCCAATGTAACAAATGGTGAACTAGAGATTCGCTTTTACTGGGCCGGAAAAGGTACTCAAGCAATTCCTTATCGAGGAGTCCATGGCCCCCTCATATCAGCCATCTCAGTTGATCCCAGTATGTGATCTTCTTCATGTCCTTTCTCATCCTCATCTACACCCTCCTTTACAATATATGAGCCGATTACTTTTTCCAGATTTCAAGCCCAAGCATGAGGAGAAGAAAACGAAGACTCTGCCGATTGTCATTGGTGTCATAGGATCATTTCTCGTATTATTGGCATCTGGGATTCTCTTCTGGAGATGCTATTTTAAAGCCAAGAGCCATAGAGAACAAGGTTTGGTCTGTTTCAGTAGTAGAAGTCAATGCTTTGGAAAAATTGAGGCCAAAAACTTTTCCTTTATACTATCTCGTATATGAAAATAACTTTTATGAATGTTCACTTGTTAACGTCCAAGAACATGTTGGACTAATTGGGGGCCTTTTACTTTCTCTTTTTCCAGAAAACAAACAAACCTATATGTAATGGATTAGGAACTTGTTTAACGCATTCTTACATGTCTTCTACAGACCTCAAGGGACTGGATCCGCAAACAGTTTCTTTCTCCTTAAAGCAGATAAGGGCAGCGACTAGCAACTTTGATTCTGGAAACAAGATTGGTGAAGGTGGATTTGGACCCGTATACAAGGTATACAAGCTAAAACAAGTCAAATGAAATCTGTTTTCATATGAAATTTTGCTTTTAGAGTTCTGCTGAATTTCATGATCGATGACAGGGTCAGCTAGGTGATGGAACAATAATCGCAGTCAAGCAACTCTTTCAAAGTCGAGTCAGGGAAATCGTGAATTCTTGAATGAGATGGGCATGATTTCATGTTTGCAGCACCCCAATCTTGTGAAACTTTACGGATGCTGTATAGAAGGGAATCAACTATTGCTAGTGTATGAGTACTTGGAAAATAACAGCCTTTCTCGGGCTTTGTTCGGTAAGTTCAATGCACAATTTTCCCAACTTGATTTCATTGTATGGAAACGTGTAGAAAAGGTTGTAACTCTTGGAAATTTTATGGGATGATTGTCTTAAGGTCCGGAAAACTCCCGAATACATCTGGACTGGCCTACTAGGCAAAAGATTTGTGTCGGAATAGCTAGAGGCTTAGCGTTTCTCCATGAAGAGTCTAGACTGAAAATTGTCCACAGAGACATCAAAGGTACCAATGTTCTGCTCGACAGAGACCTAAATCCTAAAATATCTGACTTCGGATTAGCCAAGCTTAGTGATGACGACAAAACTCACATCAGCACACGAATTGCCGGAACAATGTAAGCCAACTGCTATCTAACAATGTTGTCTTAGCTGAAAAAAGCATCCTTTGACCTTTAAATGTAAATTTACATTGCAAAAGTTAAAAATGCAGAGGATATATTGCACCAGAGTATGCACTGTGGGGTTATTTGACCTACAAGGCAGATGTTTACAGCTTCGGAATTGTGGCATTGGAGCTTGTTAGTGGCAAGCACAATATGAATTATGGACCAACGGGCGAACACACTTGCCTTCTAGATTGGGTAATCGCTGATTTATTCCGTTTTTATACATGCATTTCCATCTCCTTTGGTCTTTATTTAGTACTTCCTATGTTGTACGTTTCAGCCCTATGTTTCTGTTTGTATACCTTTTCTATGACTGCCTTTGTTTCTTTTGGTTTTATCCATGGATTTAAATTGCAGTTGCGGCCGCGTTTTCGTTCACATTGTGTTTATTTAGGTTGTAGATATAACGGATTCTATTTTCCGTGATAGTGGTATCATATGTCTTCGCGACCGCAATATAACGGCCACTATCCGACCGCTCCTTGGTTTTATCAGCTCTGTCCTTTAAGGCTCTTGAGAATTTCATGCATGTGATTTATGTCCTTTGCAGGCCTGTCATTTACAACAAAGTGGAAAGCTATTGGAGTTGGTGGATGATAAGCTGATATCCGACTATAACAAGTCAGAAGCAGAAAGGATGATTAAAGTGGCTCTCTTATGCACCAATGTTACGCCCTCCCTGAGGCCGTCAATGTCTGATGTGGTGGGAATGCTGGAAGGAACCATTACCATTCCCGATATCGTCCCTAACGCGAGTAGTTACAATGAAGATTTGAGGTTTAAAGCCATAAGAGACCACCGTAGCTCTACTCATAGTCAGAGTTTTGCCGGAAGTCAGGTTCACACTTCGACATCTACAGGATCTCAGTTTGAATCTTCATCCGCTTCAGCTCATGGAATCCATGAAACCAACGAGGGGTCCAAGGTTTAAAGCCTAGAGATCTGCAGTATCTACTCATCGTATTTAATACACCCGATTGATTATAGAAGTGCACAAAGATGTATAGGGTTTTTTTCTTGTTACAATAAGTTTAGATCAGAAGTGGCTCCTCCATTCCAGGGCAGGGTATACTTCTAAGATTAAATTGAGATTTATATAAGAATTTACAGATTGTCTACTGAGAGTAATAGTGGTAGGATTCGAACTTGACTTTAGAAGCTCAAATTTTCGAATCTCAATCATCTATACCAACACTCCTTGGCTTATCTTGATTTTTGTTACTTAGAGGTTGGTCCAGAACATAAAATAAAGGTGGTGGTGGATCTTTAGTATATATCAAATGGTAAGGGCTTATGAATGTATGATATAACAATGAATGTTTGTACTGTATTATTTATTTGCTAAAAGAATCGAAGTTGAAGATTCCGATTTTCATTCTATTTTGGAATTTTCGTTGGTGCCAGAAATAAATTATTTCAAGCTGAAGTTGAGGACTTGTGGTCCTCATTTAAAAAAAAATAAAGCTTATCCTCGGCTGTCGGCCCGTTCTATGGACTCTGTGTCCTCATAAATCATAATCGCTTCGAGGGTCAAAAACCAAAAGTGCTTTTAGGCACCTTTTACTATGCAAAAAACCAGCTTTTTTCAAAAAAAAATGCTCCTATTTAGTGTCTTTACCAGAATTATTAAAATATAAAAAAATATTTTTCATGATCATGCGTATCATTGTTCAGAGTAAGAGTGAGCATTCGATCGAGTTGAGTCAAAATTTTTTGAGTTATTCAAGCTGACGAGTCTTATTTTACAACTCAAACTTAACTTGAAATTTTTTTCGAGTAAAGTTATTTAAGTTTCTGTGCTGATTTTATTATAATTATTTATAGTATAATGACAATAATTTGTTGCAAATATTTTGATTTTATCTAACCATAATATATATATATATTATTTATTTTATATTATAATGTTATTTAATATATCAAATACAATCTAAAATTATGAGATATATTCAATAATACTATATTTTAAAAAAATATTTTGAGGATAAAATATCGATGAGAAAAAAATTGCAAACAATCATAGTCAAAATACCAAATTGATTAAAATGCAAAATTTAGGAACTAAATAAAAATATAATATATCTTTAGTTAAAAAAAATAACAATTAAAGTTACATACGTATTTTATTGTGGTATATGAGCATGTGGTTCAAATTTGGTAAAAAAATGACTTAAAATAAATCACAAATTGAAAGAATAAAGAGATTATAAAAAATTGAAAGACTAAATTAAAAATAAAAAAATTGTTATCAAAAAATAGGAATTAAAAGTACACATATACTCTAATATGGTTTAAAAGCATGTAGCTTAAATTTGATAAAAATGACTTAAAATAAATGACGAATTTAATAAATAAGAAGATTATAAAAAATTGAAGAACTAAATTAAAAAATAAAAAAATTGTTATCAAAAAGAAGAATTAAAAGTACACATGTATTCTACTATAGTTTAGGAATATATAGTTCAAATTTGATAAATAATAGACTTAAAATAAAGAAGGAATTGAAGAAATAATTAAATCATGGGTTAAATCGTCAAAATACTGGGTCAAATTTTTTATTTTTATGAGTAACTTGAAAATTTAAAATTTTAACTCCACTCGAATTTGAAAATCAAAATTTTGATCAGAGATATAATTGATCAGCCCATTTACTCTATTTGTGTGAAAATGACACTCATCTTTTTTTTTCTTTTTTTTTTGTCACCATCACATTATTTTTTTAAAATTTTTTAATAAAAATAATTATGAATTTATTTTATTTTGTAGTATATTTTTTTATCTTTTGATAGTTTACAGTTTTTTCTATTGTCTTTGTTTATTTTTTTTCATGATTAGATTTAACATCGTCATATCAATATGCGCTTATTTGTTATCATGATAATATTCTCTGTTTTGGACATCGTATTGATTTGGATACGTGTTTGCATTCATAGATAGTTTTTTCAAGTCGCTTGAGTCTGATTTACGATTTGTCGGTGACCTTCAGTAGTTTCATTCCTTTTGTGATTCGTTTACTGATGCAGTTAGATTTATTCGTATCTTTATTTTATTCAAACTTTTTAGTTAATTTTTTTAATATTTTCTTTATTTAATCTTGTGTGATCTATATGATTAATTTTTATATCTGATTATAAGAAAATATACTAATTATAATTTTGTTTATATTTACGTTATGCTTGCAATTCTTTAGTGTAATTCTTATAAAAAAAAGTTGCAATATTTTTCTCACACACTTCAAAAGTTGGTAAGTTAAAGATCCATGGATAGGCTGCATCCATAGCTAAATTTTGATGAGAAAATAAGTATAGGCGAAAGAAGATTGCTGCATTTCACTAAGAAAAGGATGGGAAGAGTTGTTAACTGTCCTTCAACCGTGAAAATTCTCTTTGGGTCCATAATTCTTACAGTCTTGGTGTTCATTTTCATGGAATCTTACCAAGTTGAAGCCCAAGTTGAGCCACCTTATCCTCCTCGTTATGAAAGTAAGTACAGATTTGCAATTCCTTTATTGCTTCAGTTCGTGTTAAAGATGAGCACTGTTGAAATGTTCCTGCTTATGTTTTAGAAGTTTACTTTCTTCCATTTCTCTGTTTTTTTTAATATTGTTTCTTAACTAATTCGGTTCATTTGTGTTAATGGTACTTAAGAACTCACCCAAGAGATTATCGCACTTATTTTCTTTTAAATGTGTTTGAACGCCACTCAGCTTCCTCCATTGGCTTCTCAATTTGTTGTTTTTTCTTTCTTTCTGGATTTGCAGTAAAAGCTCTTCGCGAGATAGCGGCAGATCTTGGAAAGAAGGATTGGAATTTTAGTGAGAACCCTTGCAACAGTAAGTCAAGCTGGTTTACTCCGCCGCCGCTGCCAAATATGCCTCAAACCATTAAAAACAGTACCGTCACCTGCAATTGCTCCTTCTCCAATGGTGAATGTCATATCGATGGCATGTAAGTCCTTACTGGTCATAAGAAAATTGATTCTTATTCTAATTTCTTAACCATAGACAATCTATCTTTTTTCTGCTACTAAAATCTCTCACCTAACTATTTGGAAATTTTGAATTGGACATGCTTCTAAAATATTTGTATTCACATGAACAGCTATCTTGGCGGGCAGGATCTCGATGGTGTTCTTCCACGCTCACTTGTCAATCTATCATATATTAAAACATTGTAAGAAGAAGGTTACATACTCTTTAACTAGCAAATAAGCTTCTATCCATTTTAAAACTTTTTTCTGTTGCTTTTAGAGTACTCCATTACAACTATCTTCACGGTGCAATCCCACATGAATGGGGTGTTCTGAAGTTGGAGATTATGTAAGTCACAAGTGCACTTCATGTCACGTTTACCCTGTTTAGAAGAAGCTTACTTTCAGTTTCATTTAACTGATAGGAATTATTACATTTCAGGACAGTTTCTATGAACCGTTTATCAGGGTCTATCCCAGGCTCTTTGGGAAACATAACAACTCTAAAATATCTGTATGCCTCGGTTGCTTATGTTTTCTTTAGTTTTATCTCTTTTCTTTTCCTTAAAGGGTAGAAAATGTTTCTTATTACAATTATATTTTCAGGAGCGTCGAGAACAACATGTTTTCTGGAACTATTCCTCCTGAGTTTGGGAAATTGGTTAACCTGGAAAACCTGTCGGGCTTTCTTTTCCCTATTAGTCTACTTCCATGCATGATCTATCAGTCCGCTTCTCTCTTTAATATTTAGTATAGTATAATTTGCCTGACCTTGCCTCTTTCTTGAATATAGTACTCTTAATGCTAACTATCTCACCGGAAAGTTTCCCTTGTCACTTGCTAATCTGTCCAATCTAAAAGAACTGTAAGTATTTTCTGCACTATATAGAATTATAGTGTTAATTAGGCTAGATTTATTTAGTACCCCTTCTTTTATGTGAGGTTTATGCAGTAGGATTAGCAGTAACAATTTCATTGGAAAGATACCCAACATTTTTCATAGTTGGAAGCAACTTGAGAAGTTGTAAGCATCTTCCTGTCTCCAGTACTTCTCTATAGTACTTCATTGAAAGTTTTGGTGATGGTTACTTCTTAAATTTGGATTCTTTTGCCAACAGAGAGATTCAAGCTAGTGGTTTCGAAGGGCCAATTCCTTCAAGCTTAGCTCTCTTGAGTAATTTAACGGAACTGTGAGTTTGAATTAGTCCCTTTAGATTTTGTAGCCATTCATTTCTATTAATGATTTAACTTAACTTCAGTACGGTCCAATTTAGATGCTATTTTTTTGGGATCATTCCAATTTAGATACTAAAATGATTGCTTAGGGGCCTTTTCTCTTTTTAACAATTCTTTATGGTGAAATATAATTCAGAAGGATCAGTGACTTACCTGGAGAGGGTTCAAAGTTTCCGAACTTAAAAAACATGAAAAACATGTACAGATTGTAAGTCATTCCCATGCTTGAAAAATTCTTCAATACCATATTAATCGTCTTTTGTTATAATTGTTCTCAGATGATGGGGGCTCATATTGCAGGATGTTACGTAGCTGCAACATAGCTGGACCAATCCCAGATTACATATGGGAATTTTCACAACTGCAAATTTTGTAATTCTGCTGTTCTCGACTCATCTTAATTTTCAGTATTTATTTCAGTACTCGGCATACCGTTTTCATTCTTTTCTTGTGGGTTTTAATAAATTTGTCATAATTAAATCTTCTTCTTCTTCTTAGAAAGCAACATACTTCAATCTTCCATAAATGTACTTATCTATATATTTTCTGGATTTCAGATTTCTATTAACTTATCATTTCAACATTCATATTTGTATAGCTATGATAAAACTGATTTGTCCACTTTTCTCAGAGATCTCAGCTTTAACAAATTGGAAGGTAACGTTTCAGATTCTGAAAGCCTTACAAAATGGCAATACATGTAAGTACTGTGAATTCTTTAGGTGTACTCATCCAAACCTAGACTAACCAATATGAAGAACACTATGCATAGTATGTTCTTGAAATAATACTCAAAGTAGTTTTTCTGGTCCTTTAATCATAGGTATATTTATTGGCATAATGCCGAAATTAGCCCCCCCAACGTTTGCGAAAATGGTCATTTTGCCCCCTAATCTATTTTTTGGAGCATTTTCCCCAACGTTTCATTTTAGGGCAAAAAGGTACCTAATATTTGACAGAATAATCATTTTGTCCCTTATTCTTTTTTTTTTCTTTCATGAAGCCCTCAATGTTTCATTTTAGGTTAAAAAAGGCTCATATTTTGGAGTGTTAGTCGTGTGTTAACTAATGGTTTTCATCTATAGAGGGAGCTTTTTGTCTCAAAGTGAAATTTTGGGGGCCAAAATGCTCCAAAAAAAGAATAGGGGTCAAAATGACCATTTTGGTAAACGTTGGGGGCTATTTTTGGCATTATTCCATATTTATAGGGGGAAAATAAGTAGTTAATAAAAGTTATAAGGTTATTGGACTTTTTTATCCTTGCGGTAATATGGAACATTTTCATTTGTTTATTTGATTCTCAACAGTGCACATTTTGGAAACTCATGGATGACATCAAAAATAAAATTAGCTTGCTGATATTTTTACTACTTCTGAACCAGGAACCTGCATGCATTAATATACTTAAATAAGTTCTACATCTTATGAAATTTTACTTTGCGGTCCAGTTCTAACCTTTCAATTTGGTTCTAATAGAAGTGCCTAAGTGTGGAGTATTGCTTACTGATTAGGTTCCTGACACACAACTCGCTTACTGGGAGTATTCCGGATTGGATAAGTTCTCGAGATAGCCGCTAGTATGTCAACTATCATTCTCTCTTTTTTCTTCTCGTGACACGTGAGTATCTGTTTATCTTCTGCATAGGGTTGACTGACACTTCAAATAACATTCATTGAATGATTTCTGCTGGATCTGATAAGTTATTTACAGTCACTTAAGGATTTTTCTTCTTTGACAGTCTGAAGGATATACCTCAAAACTACCTATTCAAACAATGCAAAATCTAACCCAATTATCCATTTTGTAGTTGCTCAGAGTACCATTCCTGGAAACATGTCCTACGTTATACCAGTACTAATATTGTTAGTTGTAATAAAAAGTAAAGTACCGTCATGTTTTTAGTCTAGTCATTTATAATCTATTATATTTTTTTTTTGCAGTCAGATGGATCTTTCTTATAATAATTTTTCTGAAAGCCCAGAGTCGCCTTCTTGTCGGGAAAATCTGTAGGAAAAACTTCCTCTTAACTTGGTTTCCAATGCTGTGTATTATTTTTCCGACTCTTTGTAAGAAGTTTTGAAATATTAAACTGATTGGTCTATTGCTTCATCAGAAATTTGTTCAAAAGCTTCTCGGGAGGCAAAAACTTGTAAGTTTCTATCTTACTGAGCAAAAAAGTTACCACGTTTTTTGTTGTTTCTTTTCTTGCCCTTTTAATCACTCTTTAACACGTCTGGTGCTTCTTTGTCGTACTAAACTAATAAAGAGGACTAGATAAATGCCTGAAGAACTTTCCTTGTTCAAAAGGTAATTCCTTTGCATTAAAATGCAAACCTCTAGGCTCTGAAAACAGGTTTTACAGTAAGGTTTTATCCTAATCAACTGGCATGTATTAAATCATTCTTTCTAGATTGGTATTCGGTAAATATAAATTGCGGTGGAGGAGCAACAACTATTAATGGGGTCGACTATGAGGCGGATGAAGACTCGGGAGGTGCAGCAAAATTTTTTCCACTCAAAGAGACTTGGGAAACAAGTAGCACTGGGCTTTTCTGGGATATCACTGTTACTTCAAGGGACTTTATAGCAAAGAATGTTTCTATTCTCCGAACTAACAACTCGAATTTATATGAAAGAGCACGCCTCTCTCCTCTTTCTCTCACGTATTACTTTCGTTGCTTAGCAAATGGAAGTTATACGGTTACGCTTCACTTTGCCGAGATAGTTATCAGAGACAATAGATCCTATCAAAGTCTTGGTAGGAGGATATTTGATGTTTATATCCAGGTATTCAGTCATATTTTATATGTAGTGTAATTTGCATGATACTGAAACTGGTTTGATTGAATAAGTTCATTGCAGGAGAAGCTGGAATTGAAGGATTTCAATGTTAAAAATGAGGCACAGGGTGTCGATAAAGCGGTTGTAAGGCAATTTAAAACGGTTGTCCTGAACAAAACTTTGACAATACGCTTTCACTGGGCTGGGAAGGGGACTGCTGCAACCCCAAGAAGAGGAACATATGGTCCTTTGATATCAGCTATCTCAGTAGACTCCGGTAAGATCTGTGGTTAAAGAGCCATTCACTCTTCTTTTGTGCTTTGCTTAACCTCCTGGATAAATTTGGGAACTTCTACTCTTAATTGTGATATTTTTTAATTCTTGAAGTGGATTGACATGTACATGATATGAAGCAATAATGGAGTGTTACTTTATGCGCTTAAAATTACTGAACGGGGAACTTTAAGCGTCTGCTACCTTCTTAAGTACCTCAATTGCTGGATAAGTTTTCACTGGCATATGCACACGCAGTGTTACTTCAGGAGATGGAAGTTTTAGAATAACCGTTTGTACCATTTTATCCCTTTTGTTGGTAGATTTCAAGCCTCCGGTTCGCTGTGGCTGGAATAAGAATATGAAGTTCATAGTGGGAGCTGTTGTTTGTTTTCTGTGCCTGATTTTCATAATCTTAGGCATTTTATGGTGGAAAGGCTATTTTCGACGAAAGCCATTAAGAGAACAAGGTATTCTAATAAACTTCAATCTGCAAATTTATACTTTTAAATGATTTATCTAGGATGATCTATCTGAACAAGTGCACCAGAATGTTTAATTCAATTGGTTCCACCCCGATATTTTCCAAGTATTGAGGGGGTTAGATCTACAGACTGGCTTTTTTACCTTTGGACAAATGAAAGCTGCTACAAACAATTTTGATTCTACATATAAAATTGGAGAAGGTGGTTTTGGAGCTGTCTACAAGGTACCTATAGCACATGCTTTCTCTTTACATTTAATTTATTTCCTAATGTTTAGGTGTACAATATTGTTTGATGAAATATATAACAAAAATTTATTTTATACTTCTGCTGTAGGGTGTATTGCTTGATGGTACCCTAATTGCAATTAAAAAACTTTCTTCGAAATCAAGGCAAGGAGATAGGGAATTTCTGAATGAACTAGCCATGATTTCAGGGTTGCAACACCCTAATGTTGTTAGGTTGTATGGATGTTGTGTTGAGGGAACTCAGCTGTTGTTGGTATATGAATACATGGAAAATAATAGCCTCGCACACGCTTTATTCGGTAAGTTTAATGTCCTAAATCTCTTTCATTCTTCATTCAATGTTTTTGTGATTGGAGCCATAGAAAGCAAGTATTCCTTCTCTGATCATTTCATCTCAGCTCCATGTATGGATAACTATATGATGAATTTCAATGGATTTTGCCTGTGTCAACGAATAGCTCCCAAAGAAAGCCAGCTATTGGACTGGCCTACTCGGCAGAAAATCTGTCTTGGAATAGCGAAAGGTCTTGCTTTCCTGCACGAGGAATCAAGTTTAAAAATTGTACATAGAGACATCAAAACTACCAACGTGCTACTAGATAGTGATTTCAATGCGAAAATCTCCGACTTCGGTTTGGCCAAGTTCGATGAGGAGGAAAACACCCACATTAGCACCAGAGTTGCTGGGACTATGTGAGCTACCACTTTCCCTATGTTTTTCATATGCTGAGCATCACTACATTTCTTTCAATTCAGCATATTTAGTTTGAATCGAATAAAACTATACTGCTTGTTTGCTTTTTGTTTCAGTATTAGTGTTAAGAAATACATGATTTCTCAACTTGCTACCATAATAGAAAAAGGAACATAGATTCTTGAAACTGAAATTCCTGCAAATTGCATGAAGCATCAGTGCTTTCAACTATAGCATTGAAAATGAGATCAAAGCCTACAACCTTGTTTATGTAAACATGAACAAAGTTGATATGCATGAGTATGTTGTGCTTTGTTCTCCTATTTTCGCAGAGGATACATGGCACCAGAATATGCATTATGGGGCTATCTCACCTACAAGGCAGATGTTTACAGTTTCGGGATTGTTGCATTAGAAATTGTTGCTGGAAAGAACAATGCAAAATATCGACCCGAAGAGGATTATGTATGCCTTCAAGATCGGGTAAGATACAATTCAAGTTATAATGTGATAATGTCATCACAGAAATATCTATGTATTATAATTCACAGGTGCTTGAACTTATATTGATCATTTAAGTTCCTTTATCTCCTTTTCCAGGCACTTGTTTTACAACAGAGGGGAAACTTAATGGAGTTGGTGGATCCAAGGTTGGGGACCGAATTCAACGAAGAGGAGGCAATTAGGATGACAAAAGTAGCTTTATTGTGCACTAATTCATCCCCTGCACTTAGACCAACCATGTCTGAAGTTGTAAACATGTTTGAAGGTCGAACCCTTGTTCCTGAATTAATCATGGACCCGAGTATCTTTGCCGATGATTCGAGGTTCGGATCACTGAAAGACGAATTCAACCGAATGAAATCCTGGAAGAGTAGCGAAACCACCATGGTTACTGCCTCATCAGATTCAAGTTCAACAACATGGTATGGCTCTTCCTCAACGCTTGTTTAACATCCATCAAACTCAAAGCAAACTTGATTGCTCTTATAGTAGTGTAAAGATTGGCTTCAATAAAAATGTTTAAAAAAATCTGAACTTCCTTTACACTCTTTCTTGATTGTCAGACTAAGGGTAATATATTTGGACATGCATGTGGAGTATGATGATATGCGATGTCATTCAAAGTGACATTTACTCCCTTTTTTTTTCCCCTTTTTCAGACGACCGGTTGAGCTCTAGCACAGTCAACAAAACCGGTCAAGAAAAAAATTTAATCGATATAGCAATTTTTATTTGATGATATTTGAAAATTTAATATAAATATTATAATTAATATTTATTAATTATGTATTCATATTTAATTTATATTTAATATTAATTTTACTATTTTTAAACTCGACATAATTCCTTTTAAAACCCATGAACATAGGTTTGAGTAGTGATGACAATTTTATCTCGATCAAATAAATTCATACCTAATTTGATTCGGTCAGGTAAATTTATATTTTGAAAATTTAAGTTCAGATTTATGACAAAAAAATTAACTTAATCTGACTTGACATAATATTATAATTATATTTTTATATATTTAGAGATAATTACAATAAAACTTTTATAATTTTCAATTAGAGTCCAATTTTATGTAATGAAAATGGATTATATATATTTAGGCCGGATCGGATCATGTACAATTTTTAACCTAAAAATCAGATTGAATTTCGGATCAGTTGTGGCCTTTCCTAAATTCAAATTAGATCGAATGTGAGTGGAATTTTTTATTTTTAAATCTAGTGTGGGTGTGTGAATGCATCCTCATGTTTTCTGCCTCCTACGATTCGATCTCTTTGGAATGTTTTAGTAGCGACAAATTTGCATACTCAAATGAAGGTTTCAACTACAGAATAACTTCCATTGTTATTGATACTTTTCCTTCATACAGGTTTTAGTTTTGGATCTCTTTAATGATGAATCTTTAATATTATGGTAAATTACGCATATAGTACCTAAACTATCAGTTTTGGTCTGTTTAGTACCTAAACTTTCAAAATCATGTCTAACGTTTAGTTTTTGTTTCATTTTAGTACCTCATTGTTAAAAACTTAACACATTTAGTATCTAAACTATCAGTTTTGGTTCGTTTAGTACCTAAAAACTTTTAATTTTTTTAAAGCTTAACGTTAAATTTTGAATGGGATACTAAAATGAAATAAAAACTAAACTTTAGGTATAATTTTAAAAAAATAAAAATTTAGGTACTAAAACCAATAGTTTATATACTAAACGTATAATTTACCTTTAATCTTATTATATGTTTATGGAGAATAAAGGCGTGATTTATTGTGAACAAAGATGTTTTTCTACAGATAATTGTATTATTACAATTAATCTGTGATAAAAATATAACTTTTGTTCAGCCCAAAGAAAATTAAATAGAAAAAGAAATGAAAAGTCAATGAGACGAAATGAGGTTAAATATTAAAAAGTTACATTGTTTTTTTTTTTTAAATTGGATCTCATTAAAACCCTTTCTAAATCCTAAACGGGAAAAAGTATCCAAAGAAATTGTATTATAGAGGAACAATATCATTTGATACAACAGTAATAATTATCTCACGATAAAACGAATAAAAAATTATAAAATACCCCGAATGAAGAGCCCATGTTGCTAAACTTATAAGCAACCTTGTTACAATTATGTGAAATAAACTGAACACTAAAGGCAAGATGTCACCCCCAATCTGTTGCACCTTGCTGACAATAACCACAGCATGCAATCGTTGTCCCTAGCCTACTGAAGACCGGCAGTAAGAGCATGTATTTCCGCTAGCCTTGCCTCAGAACATTTATTTATAATAATATTTTAATTATCTGAATTACTTATATTTTGAAAATATCTTATCATTGAATTTATAATTAAGTGATTTTATGTACAAATTATCTCTATTGAACTATAGACCACGGTTTAGGGATTCCACTGATTGTTGGAGTCTCGGATGATTGGGGCATAGAACCCATAGGGTTCGTTCGATTATAAAAATATCTTTTTATTTTTATTTTTAAAAAGTAATATTCATTTTCAATTTTTTAAAGTTAAAAAGCATGTTTGATTAATATAAATAAAATTTTGAATTTAAAAAAATAGCGAAAATATATTTAATATCTAATTTTTAAAATATAAATGAATAAATAATTATTAAATAATTAAATTAAAGAATAATTATTAAAAAAATTCATTACATAAATTTAGCATGTGATTTATACAAATACAAAACAATGAAATTAATAAAAAAAATCACAACATAAAAATTATTTTAGTTTATAATAATAATATAATATTAATGCATAATAGACATCGATTAAATTAAAAAATGCATAAAAATATTGTTATAAACAAGAGAATATGAAAGTATCATTAAAAAAAAGGCTTAATGTAAAAATAAGTGTTCAAACTATACTAAAGTTAATTTTTGGTGTCTAAAGATTTTTTTCGTTAAAAATAGTTGTTTAATATTTTATCTGTTACACTTTTAGGTGTCTACCATTAAAAAATGATAAGTGATATGTATTACGTCCATATTTTAAAAATTTGTTTTTAAATAAAAAAATTCAAAGAAAAAATGTGACAATGTCACTTAATTTTTTTAATGATAGACACTTAAAAGTGTAACAGAAAAAATGTTAGGCGCCTATTTTTAATGAAAATTTCTTTAGACATCAAAAGTTAACTTTGAGTATCGTTTCGACACTTATTTTTATATTAAGCCCAAAATAAAAAATATATATATATATTTAGTTGCATGTAAGGTTCTCAATTTTTTGTAAAAAGAAAACTATTATCTCTTAAACTTTTTTGCACCAAATGTGATCCTTAAATTGAGAAAAAAATATTTTTAATCCTTTAACTAATAGAAACAAACTATCATAACGCTTGCATGACAGTTCACAAAACTTACTTTTTTAGCTGACCCTATTCTCATATGTAATGGGATAAAGGGAAAGTAAGATAGTAGGCTGCCCTCAATGCCAGGTTGAGAGCAGCTTCCGTGGGAGACCTCCGGTTATGAAATTGCCCACTGTGGGACTCGATCCCACAACCACAAGGTTAAGAGCCTTGCACTCTACCAACTGAGCTGGACAAGCAATTCATGATAATCTAATATGACAGTTCATGATGTTGTTGTGATAGTACATAATAGATGATGATGTGATAGACGAGTTTAATTATTTTTTAACTAAATTTGAAGGCCTAATTGATTTTATTTAAAAAAAAGTTTGAGAACTTATCTAGTTTTTTTAAGTAAGGCATCATTTAAATTTAAAATTTAAAATATAATTAATTATCAAGATATTTAATACAATAAATTTAAAAATATTATAAATTAAATTATTAAAAAAATAAGTTTAAAGACCACATTGATTGTAAAAAATTTTAAGGATCATATTGATTTTTTTTATAAAATTTTTGAGATTTCAGATACCAATAAATAAAAAAATTATTGTTAGAATGGTTTAAACATGAGCAAGTTAAGTTAAAAATCTTGATCCGATATTTTTTAAAATTTTAAAATACTTTTAATGAAAATAATGAAAATATTTTTTATGAAAATATTCTTTTATGTTTTCATTTTTCTCTCATTTTTTTATTTTTTAGAAATCATTCTCTAATTATACAATAAAATAAAATTCTTTTTCAATTTTTTTATTCAACCAAACGAATCCTTAGTATCCACAACTTCAAAAGGTGTCACGAATTAACGGCTAGCGGCTTTCGCCTATCTGCCACCTGCCAATCAGTCTATTGGATTTTTTGTTGGCAAAAAGTCATAACAAGTCCTTGTACTTTTGAAAAAAATCAAAGTGATCTTTGTATTATTTTTCTCTCAATGTGACACTCCAACTCAGAAAATAAATCCAATGTAACCCTTTTACCAACGTTTTTTCCATCGTTGACCATTATGGTGTTGATGTGATAGTTCACGATGCTGACATCAGTGATTTAAATAGCGTTCGCGGTCGCATTTTCGGTCGTATTGCGTTTATCGCGGTTGCGGATATAACGGATACCATCACAGTCACTACAGGTGTCGCGGTCGTGATTTTTTTAAAATTTTGTACAATTTACCCTAAAACATAATAATTATATTATAATGTTAAGGAGTGACTAAAATAGTAGCAATCTGAAAGTTTAATGAGTAAATTGCAAAATTTTAAAGTTCAGTGAGAAAATAGGAGATAATAGAAAGTTAAGTGACGATTTATGTAGTTTACCCTAATCAAAAGAATAGGAAGTTAAGTGACCCGAACCACTACAATTCAATCCTCTGCATTCTCTAGCCATCTCCTACCTCATTTTCCCACTGCTTCATCCCACCATATTCTTTTCCTTCCCCCAAACAAATAGATCAAATGGGTTTCACCAGATCGTTATATTAAAGAAAAATTCTCTTTTATTCTATGAGTTTTCCAATCCACGTAAAATGGAGGAAGCAATCGCTCCAGTGTAATAGTTTCATACTTTCATTTTTCTCTGATTTTTGACTCCTCTTCCCTTCCCCTGTTTCCTCTTTGGCCTCCACTCTTTAATCGTTTATTTTCTCACGGGCCACGACTGAAGTTTGGTCAATTGTGTACATCTATTTCTCTTTGGCCTCCCCTGCTTCTACTTGTTCTTTTTTTTTTTGAAGTCACTGTTGAATAACGGGGATATCATCCCGTTATCGATATTATTTATCGTTAAACGTTAAATTGCGGCAATGATGGACCGTTATTGGTGTGAATTCGTTACCCACTGCAAAAATCATGAAAACCGGTTTCGGACGGCGGCGCTACCGCAATATCACGGCTGCTATCGCATTTTCGGTCCGTAATTTGAAACTCTGGCTGACATAACAGTCCAGTGTGGCAGATTAACGTGGGAGATTACATGATAGATTGACTAAATTGGTAACTCAAACATGATAGATGAATTTAGGGGTGTTTAAAATTACCCGACCCGGTTAACCTGGCTCGTCGACCCGCCGACCCAAACCTAAAAAACCGGGTAATTTTCTAAAAAAAATATTTGACCCATGATTTTTCCCAAGTAGTTGGGCCAAGTCTGGACTGAATTTTTTTTATAGTAGGGTACCCAACCCGGTAATATTAATATATATAT